CCAGGTCACATTTAGTTGCCACATCTGTTTATACTCCTCTTGGCGGTGATGATTACTTAAGACTTTCCTTGTTTTTTGATAGCCTTCACAGCATCAAGGAGTACTGGTCAGGCATATCATACAATGTCCCTCAACTTGGATTTGCTGATGTTTTCCTTAGGGGGATACTGTGGATACAGGTTTTGGGAGGATGATAAAGCACCATTCTCATGACATCATATCAACGGTACATATTATCAACATGGCTTATCACTGCTGCTGATGACCTTGGCCACCTGGCAGAGGTAGCATTTGTCAAGACTGCTCCACTGTAAAATTATACTTTTTCCCCTTCTCACACTGTCCTCTCTGAAAGAAAGTCACTAAACACAGCTCAGACTTAAGGAGTGGGAAGCGATGCCCCACCCCCTTGATGGGGGAGTACCAACATAAATTATTTGGAATTCTTCTGCATGAGAGATTTGTCTCATTCATTCATTCATTCATTCATTCATTCATTGGTTCATTTAGGTATATCCCTAGGGACTCATGATGTTTATGTTATACTTTGGGTCATTATATAATACTACTTTACTTTGCTGCCCACACTGCTCCAGTTTTGGTCACTGGCAGCACCCTCAGTTGGCTCCTGATACCCCTTTTTTATTTTGTTTTGTTTGTTGAGCATTTCCTTGCTTTCTGGCACTAAAAGATGCTCCAGGGTTATCTCCTCTATTTCCTCTCCAGTCTTAAAATCAACCATTTCTCCATGGAGTCTAGGCTCTTTTTATTGGAGAAAGGTATTAGAAACCACGATCTGGATACCAGCTAGGCTTGGAACACCAAGTTGCTGGGGTGTCCTTGTTTCTAGAGCCTCTGAGCTGTCAGAGCTAGGAGATATGTATGTTTACTAACCTGTATACCTACACGCATCTATAAATACTCGTTATATGTATCCATCTGTAGTCTATATTATGCTACACATGAGTTCACTCTGATGCCCCCAATTCAATCCATTTCCACATGGATCATTCCGGCCTCAATGGATCACTTTCAATGATAGCACTGTATTTGGTCTTTTGCGTTAGGTACAGTACCAAGCTGCTTTCAAAGATCACCCCATATCACCCTCAAAACAACTCTATGGGTAAAGAGTATTGCCCACATTTAACAGATGGAGAAACTGAGGTAGCGAAAGGTGAAGTATCTTACCTAAACACAGTAGGCAATGGGACCGGCAAAGGAGCCTACTACATCTTTGAGACTGACAGAGAACCTCCATCCCCACATTCATCTAAGCCCTTGAAAAAGCTTCGGTTCTGGGTGATTAAAGATGCGGATAGAATTCCCAGCTCTCAACAACTATTGTTCTATTCAAATCTTGCCTCCTCAACACTCGTTCCGCTTCCCGGGGTCCTCTCGCCATCTGACTTGCTAACTGCAAGACAAGGTGCCAAGTTACAACCCGACTTGACAAGTCAAGGAAAGGGGTGCTGGAGCGATGGCAAGAATCAATCTCCATCTGACCCCGTGACTTTTCAACCCCTGGCTAACCCTTGCTGTGTATTATCTTGGGTTTCGGTGACTTGGTGGTAATTAACTCTGAACAAGCAGCCCTGCTTTCGTCGAGTTAAGAAAAAGAACACGTATTTTTTTTTCCCCGTTAATTAAAACATCTAAAGGAAGATAAATGTACAACCCACAAGCTTATCTTTCAAAATATCAAAGACCTGATTAGTAAGTCTTATGTTCAACCTCAGGCTTTTTCTCTAGATTCCTAGAAGTAACAGAGACTGGGAGGTGAGGAATTTCCAAGTATGTATCAACATTTGGTTACTTGGACATCCACCCATTCATTCATATCTAGAAAGAGGCAGCCTGGATCAAGCACAAAATATTCCTGGGAATTTTGGCTCGATCAACCTACTGAATCAAAAAAGTCAGTAGTGTGCAGACAAGAAGAAACAGAATCCTTAAGGCCAGGTTGAAAACCACTTTTAGAAAAGCCCAGAGCCCCCTCTGGTCCCTGTGTTCTGTTTGGTGAATTTTTCCTGACAGTTGGTGGTTTTGTTTGCCAGAACCACAACAAAGGGGGTCCTTGAGCTTCCCTGGGAGTGTTTCCTTAGACCTGCACCTCTCCTACACCTCACAAAGGTGTTATTGTTGCTGGCTCCCTGGGCGCCCAGCACCTGAGGAAGATCAAAGCCACTTTCTGATGCCAGCATGACCACAGTCTCGCCCTCACCACATAACATTAAAGCTGATGATTAATACCCTTGGCCCCGAAGGTCCCTTCCCACTCCCAAGTACAAAGCAAGGTGGGGGTGGGGACTTTATTTCCAGCACAACACGACCATAATAAACTGGCATTTTATGGCCCTAATTCATTGCAACCAACTGCAGCTGCCCATCAAACTCGTTAAAGCCCAAACAGTTGCTTCAAGTGAGCCTTGTATATCACTAGGCAAGTGCACTAAGAATCTCCACCATTTCTGAGTGTCTGTTATGTACTAGGTATGTACGTCCACAAGTCACATTCACCAGCAACACTATGAAACAGGCAGCACCACCCCAAGGGGATGGAGGAAGGCTCAGAGGTTCAGAGAAGTTAAGTAGCTCCCTTCAGGTCACAAGACCACAGAGTGGAGGAGCAGGGCTTTAACCTGAATCTCACAGCTCTGAAGCCCAGGCCGTCTCCACGTCTTTACGGGACATTACAATTGTGCTCAAGGCAACGAGGCACTGAGCAGAATGCGTTTGGGATTGAGATGGAGCTAGGTCTGAGTTCTCAGCTCTCACTTAACAGCTTGTGGCCCTGGGAAAATTTCTGGACTTTTCTATGCCTTGGCTGCCTAACTTGCAAAATGGATCCTAGACGAAAAGGCAGTACTATCCCCATTAATAGACAAGGAGAATGAGAGCGGGGGGAGACCTGACAGAGTCCCTCACATTCATTTGGACTTGCTTTTGCTCGGGAATCTGAATTAAGTGTAGTAAAAATGCCTAAAATTCAGATTTCACAGGAGAAACCAGATTAGATGTGTCCCTGTGAAAATGGGGGATGATTTAAATAGGTTTCAATCAGTGTTCAATTAAGACAGGCTAACCAGTGTAGACTCGTGTCAAGGGAAATAAGGACCAGCTGCCCTAACGGGTGCCTCCTGCTTGAGGCGGCCTGAGGCCTCTGCAGATCTCTTCCTTCAGGGACAGCTGGGCCCTACCATTAGGGCTGCTAAGGGGACAAAGAGGCTGGGGTTTTGAAAACTTAGTTAAAGGGGTGCCTGGGTGCCTCAGTCGATTAAGTGTCTGACTTCGGCTCAGGTCACGATCCCACAGCTCGTGAGTTCGAGCCCCGTGTCGGGCTCTGTGCTGACAGCTCGGAGCCTGGAGCCTGCTTCAGATTCTATGTCTCCCTCTCTCTCTGCTCCTGCCCTGCTCATGCTCTCTCTCTGTCTCAAAAATAAATACACATTACCAAAAAATTTTTAAAAGAAGTCCCACTTAAAACCTTGTCCACAGAAACAAATAAAAGGAAAACTTTTTTTTTTTTTTGGCCGGGAAAAAGGCAGGGTCAAGGAAACCTATGACCTGAAGGTCTAACACAAGGGTCCCCTCAGGAAGGTGTCCCTAACCCTGGACCATTCCCAGACAGAGTCAGTCACTGTCTCCTTTTTGCCCAACAGCATCAGTGCTAGTCATCAGGAGCTAACCATTGTGAGGAGCTTACTTCATGGGAAGCACATCACATAGCCTCATCGCCTGATCATAACACTAGGAGCCATGTACTAGAGATCTCCACATTTTGCAGATAAGGAATCTGAGGCCTGGAGGGGGTCAGCGCCTTGCCAGGGGGCCCATACTTAGTAAGCAGAGGGACTAAAACTGGAAACCAATGGGGCTGGCTCCATCATTCCCCTGCGCTGGGAAGCCATGCACAATGTCGGCATATCGCAGATGTTCAGGATCACAAGTTCAATCCAAATTGATACCCCGGGGCCTTGTACTGTATTGTAATGGCTGCTGTAACCATGCCTCATCAACAGGAGCCTTCATGTCACCCTCACGTCCCCAAGGCTGAGCACAGCTCTGGACACGAGAAGAGGGGGTCCATAAGTAAGTAGATGTATCACTATTTACTCAATCAGAATATTTAATGGTAAAAAAAAAAAAAAAAAGGCTCACTAGGCCCTACTGTCACTAGGCCCCACATTTGACACGGCACATGATTCCTTCCATGGCTACAGAGACTCGGCCCCGGACTGTGTCCACTCTAATCCTCACCCGCCTTCCGCCTCCTCCCCCCGCCCTCTCTCTATTTTACTCATCTGGGAAACATCCAAGGAGTCGTCCATCTAAGTTTAACAGAGTAATGACTTTTAAATAAAAATATGGTAGAAATGGGTACTTATCGAAATGGAATGCTTTCAGACTCATGCATTTAAAGAAGATATAAATTTTAGGGCAGGCACTAAATTTTAACTGCAATCTTGGAGAACGCCTTTCCACTAATTCATGGAGAAAAATTAACAAAGTGAAAATTGCTTATCAGTGTTCTTTTGAAGTCATGATACGCAGCCTAATTCTATAGATCATCAGGCTGCTTCTAGGGAGATGGATTTATATTGATTGGGAGAGAGCCCCGTGGCCAAGGAAAACAGACACCCCTGTGCAGAGGAGACTCAGAGACCCATTAGGGACAGATCAGCCTGGGAGCAAGGCATTGCCATTTTTGGATCCAATTTCACCCCTCACGCCTGGGCTCTCTGACCAGGCTGATGTCAAAGACAGACTCAAACCTTTTCATACTTTTTAAGAATCTAGCTCAGGGGGAAAAGAAAGATCTGGCAAATTTAAGCACAGCTTTTGGGAGAAGGGCTGGGCTTGTGGCTAAACAGAGCAGGCAGGCAGCAGGACAGGAAGGAATTGAAGGGCAAAGGAGGGGCCAGCCATTTACATCTCCTCTTGGGCTGCCCCCCCCTCCATCCCCTGTGGTGGCCCCGCCCTCAGCCCTTCAGACTCACCCCCATGTGACAAGAAGATGTTCCACAGATGACAGCCAGCCGTGACGTCACTGGCTGTCCCTCACAGGCAAGGCCATGCCCTCTCACATCTGCTCCAATCACTCCTGCGAGAAAGCAAAATAAAACAAAACCCTCTTAAAAAAAAACGAGAAAAGAAAGCCAAGAACAAGCATACAACACTCCTTTTTATAACTAAATGTTAAGAAAGCATTCCTGTGTAAGCCAGTCTCAAATGGAAACCAACAGAACGTACTTGCCTGCCACCGAGAAGCTAGGAAGCACATTATGTCTATGCTCGATTCTGGTCAATGTATAGTATCTAACATTGTAGTATTAATAGTAACTGTAATTAGAATAATAAAAGGTGAAGCTATTGGCGATTTTGTGCCCAGGAAATACCAGGGCACCATGCTGCATATTCACATGGACGATCTCATTTTATATTAACCCTGTCTCAAGTTCGTATTAGTAACGCCACACACATTGGTGGAGAAACGGAGGTACAAAGAGGTTGAGTGACGTGACCAAGGTCACACTGCTAGTAAAGGGCGGAGCTGAATGGATCTGATTTAGCACAACACATTTCAATCTCAAAGAAGGCACTTGAGCTGTTTGATGATTTCAATCTTTTTGGTCTCTCTAGGTCCCCATTCTTACAATTACTCATCACAGAACTCTCAAGGTAAAGGGTAGGGTGACTCACAGCGAGTTTCTGTTAAACGAATGTGAGATAACGGAGACTTTCTCATAAACAGTATAAGCTCAGGCTTCTTCTCCAGACTGTTATTTGTTGATACCTCCCAGATAAATGAAGTTATAAATGTGATGATAGAGCTAAGAAGACTATTTAGATGAACACGGAACATTCTTGAGAACAGATCACATACTGGGACACAAATCAGCCCTCATTAAGTATAAAAAGATCGAGATCAGACCACAACACTATGAAACTCGAAATCAGCCACAAGAAAGATTTGGAAAGACCATGAATACTTGCAATTAAAGAACACTCTACTAAAGAATCAGTGCGTTAAACAAGAAATTAAAGAGGAAATTAAAAACTACATGGAAGCCAATGAAAATGAAAACATGACAGACCAAAACCTCTGGGATACAGCAAAGGTGGTCATAAGAAGGAAGGACATAGCAATCCAGGCCTTCCTAAAGAAGGAAAAAAAGTTCTCAAATATACAAACTAACTTACACCTAAAAAAGCTGGGAAAAGAACAGCAGGTGAAGGCCAAAACCAGCAGAAGAAGGGAAATAATAAAGATTAGAGCAGAAATCAATGATATCGGATTAAAAAAAAAAAAAAAAACAGACCAATGAAACCAGGAGATGGTTCTTTGAAAGAATTAACAAAATTGATAACCCCCTAGCCAGACTGATCAAAAAGAAAAAATAAATAAAATCACGAATGAAAGAGGAAAGTATACAACACCACAGATACACAATTATAAGAGCAGATAATGAGTAATTACATGCCAACAAACTGGGCAAACTGGAAGAAATGGACAAATTCCTACAAATATATAAACTATCAAAATTGAAACAGGAAGAAATAGAAAATTTGAACAGACCCGTAACCAGTAAAGAAATTGAATCAGTAATCAAAAATCTCCTAACAAACAAGAGTCCAAGGCCAGATGGCTTTCTAGGGGAATTCTACCAAACATTTAAAGAAGACGGAACACCTATTCTTTTGAAGCTGTTGCAAAAAATAGAAATGGATGGAAAACTTCCAAATTCATTCTGCAGGGCCAGCATTACCTCGATTCTAAAACCAAAGACCCCAGTAAAAAGGAGAACTAAAGACCAATTTCCCTGATGAACATGGATGCAAAAATTCTCAACAAGATACTAACAAACTGGATCCAACAATACATTAAAACGATTATTCAACACGATCAAGTGGGATTTATACCTGCGATATAGGGCTGGTTCAATATCCACAGATCAATCCACAGATTAATGTGATACATCACATTAATAAAAGAAAGAATAAGAACCACACGATTCTCTCAATAGATGCAGAGAAAGCATTTGACAAAATACAGCATCCTTTCTTGATAAAAACCCTCAAGAAAGTAGGGATGAAAGGATCACACCTCAAGATCATAGAAGCCACATATGAAAGACCCACTGCTAATATTACCCTCAGTGGGAAAAAACTGAGAGAGTTCCCCCTAAGGTCAGGAACATAACAAGGATGTCCATTCTCACACAGTATTGGAAGTCCTAGCCTCAGCAATCAGACAACACAAAGAAATAAAAGGCATCCAAATCAGCAAGGAGGAAGTCGAACTTTCACTCTTCATAGATGACATGATACTCTATGTGGAAAACCCAAAAGACTCCACCAAAAAACTGCTAGAACTCATACATGAATTCAGCAAAGTCATAGGGTATAAAATAAATGTACAGAAATTGGTTGCATCTCTATACATCAATAATGAAGCAGCAGAAACAGAAATCAAAGAATCGATCCTATTTGCAATTACACCAAAATCCATAAAATACCTAGGAACAAACCTAACCAAAGAGGTGAAAAATCTATATGCTGAAAACTATAGAAAGCCTATGAAAGAAATTGAACAAGACACACAAAAAAATGGCAAAACATTCCATGCTTATGAGTCTGAAAAACAAATATTGTTAAAATGTTGATACTACCCAAAGCAATCTACATATCCAATGCAATCCTTACCAAAATAAACATCAAAATAACACCATTCTTCACAGAGCTAGAACAAACAACCCAAATATTTGTATGGAACCAGAAATGACCCCAAATAGCAAAAGCAATCTTGAAAAAGAAAACCAAAGCAGAAGGCATCAAAATCTCGGACTTCAAACTATACTACAAAGCTGTAATCATCGAGACAGTATGGTACTGGCACAAAAACAGACACTCAGATCAATGGAACAGAACAGAGAACCCAGAAATGGACCCACAAACATATGGCCAACTAGTCTTTGACAAAGCAGGAAAGAATATGCACTTGAAAACAGACAGTCTCTTCAACAAATGGTGCTGGGAAAATTGGACAGCAACATGCAGAAGAATGAACCTGGACCACTTTCTTACACTGTACACAAAAATAAACTCAAAATGGATGAAAGACCTAACAGTAAGACAGGAAGCCATCAAAATCCTAGAGGAGAAAACAGGCAACAAACCCTTTGATATTGGCCACAACTTCTTACTCCACGTGTCTCCAGAGGCAAGAGAAACAAAAGCAAAAATGAACTATTGGGACTTTGTCAAAATAAAAAGCTTCTGCACAACAAAGGAAACAATCAGCGCAACTAAAAGGCAACCTACAGAATGGGAGAAGATATTTGCAAATGACATAGCAGATAAAGGGTTAGTATTCCAATTCTTTATTAAGAACTTATCAAACTCAACACCCAAAAAGTAAATAATCCAGTGAAGAAATGGGTAAAATACATGAATAGACACTTTTCCAAAGAAGACATCCAGATGGCTAACAGACACATAAAAAGATGCTCAACATCACTCATCATCAGAAAAATACAAATCAAAACCACAATGAGATACCACCTCACACCTGTGAAAATGGCTAAAATTAACAATACAAGACACAACAGATGTTGGCGAGGATGCAGAGAAAAAGAACCCTTATGCACTGCTGGTGGGAAAGCAAACTGGTGCAACCACTCTGGAAAACAGTATGGAGGTTGCTCAAAAAATTAAAAATAGAACTAGTCTTCAACCCAGAAAATGCACTACTAGGAATTTATCCAAAGAATATAGGAGTGCTGTTTCAAAGGGGCACATGCACCCCAAGTTTTAGAGATGCACTATCAACAATAGCCAAAGTATGGAAAGAGCCAAAATGTCCATCAACAGATGAGTGGATCGAGAAGCTATGGTATGTATGTACATATGTACACACACACACACACACACACACACACACACACACACAC